TATTCATTGGGAAAACATATTGAAATAGAACAACCTCAGACAAAGAATTGAAATTGAGTACAGAGAAGAAGTTGGTTTTATGCAAACGTAGTGATATCATCTTTAGTATTCCTGTCATCATTCTTCATACAACAACAACAACAACAACAGAAAACCCAAAAACCAAAATGAACACTTGTCAATGTCCGGTTTTTGCTCCGTTCATTGAACCAAATTTTGTAAGTTCATCAGAAAAAAAAAGCACACTAACGGAAAAAAAAGCTAAAAACTGCTGTAATAGAGATGAAAAAAAGATGAGCTCGAAAAGGTTAGAGCAGATCTCATCATTACCATCTCTTTAACATTAATTTTTCATTCAGGATAATTTTGCTTTCATGTCAACATAAGTCAAGAAATGAAACGGAAATGAATTTACACAGGTTTCTAACAACAAAAAAACAGAAACAAAACAAAGAAAACAACAAAAATTGAAATTGTTTGTGCCGAACGCCAACGGCAGTACCAACATCAGCAACAGCAGTTATTATCGACGTAAACATATGTTAAAACCTGTTTGAAGTTTTAAGGTACATCAACCACTTAAAGCCACAAAATTTGTTCGATCAAATTGACCATGTGAACTTTTTCATACCTATTCATATACTGCCTGCAGTTTATCAACTGTATTTTTTGCCACCTTTTTTTCAACGCGCTTCTAAAAGCAAGAACCAGTTGAATGATTATAATTTCCTGTACATAAAATAGTTGTAAAAAAACAAAATATTATGAAATTAAAATATACATAGATAAAATAAATCCCCCTCCCTCCAAAAGCTACTACAATTATCTAAAAAAAAAAAAAAATAAAAATAAAAAAAAAAAGCCAAAACCACCCAAACTGTATAAACAGGTGCCTCAAACGGCGGCAGCAATGGAACTCTCAAACAATACCACCCTTACAGCTGCAGCTGCTTTATATCACCACTGTTGTTCAATCGTCAATTATTGACATCATCAAAACAGCAAAGTAAAAAATAAAACAAAAGAGAAAAATCATTTTTTTCTTACCTTTTTTTTTTCTTCTGCAAATTTTTTTATTTCAACAAAAGGTAAAAAAAAAAACAGGTTTACGTAACTCAGAGAGAAATAAAAAACAAAGTGTCTAATGAGTACAATCATTACATTTTTTCTGTTGATTAAACAACGGTAACCGTTTAAAACATACAGTTTTCATAACAAATAACGCACATACAACTCAAACGTTCACACACATAAATACAAATACACACACATACAGACATCGACACAGACGCATCAGTAACGTCACCACAAGTTGAAAAAATCCACCAAGCAAAAAAAAACAATGTCCCTTAAAACTTCTGCTGTGAAAAATGCAGTGAAAAAAAAAAGAAAAAAAAAAAAAAAAAAAAAA